AGGAGAAGGCCCGTTTGCCTAGTTCGGTCCGCACCGAGGGGACACTGCATGTAATGATGTCTTGAGAGCTCACGCTATTGCTGCACTGACAAAGTGGCACGTACAGATGAAAAGATGTACCAGTGAGAGAGTTTGTGTGAAGTTAATGATGACCACTTAATCAGTGAATACAGGGTGCAGTGGTGTGTACATCTAGTTATGAATCTTAGCGCACCGTTATGGACAGCATCCAACATATGCAGGGTGCTTGTAGGAGCATTCATGTAAATAATGTCACCATAGTCAATGGACAGCAGGAAATTAGCAGTTGCAAAGACATTTCCTAGCATTCAGAGTTAAACAGGATCTGTTTCTGAAAAAGAAACCCAGTTTAACTTGCAGTTTCTTTACCAAGTTTTCGACATGAGGCTTGAACGAGAGAGTTGACTCGACCAAGATACCCAAGTGTTTATAAGAATTGACAAACTCATTAGGAACACCATTCAAAGATACAATGGAAGGAAGAACTGCTGGGACTGACTTCCTGTTCAACATCCTTTTGGGATGAGGGTCTAGCACCAGTTTGAGACAGAACAAATCTGATTACTTCCAATTCAATTCAATTTAATTTATTTGTATAGCTCCAAGTCACAACAGAAGTCATCTCAGGGCACTGAACAGAAACATTCAAAAATAATAATTTAAGACTATCTGAGCAGACTGCTTTGAATTTAACTCCATCACAGAACTCTCATCTTGAGCAAGCATAAAGGTGACAGTGGAAAGGAAAAACTCCCTCCTGAGGAAGAAACATTTAGCAGAACCAGACTCAGGACAAACGGTCATCTGCTTTGACCGGCTGGGTTTGGTAGGAACAGATACACAATGGTAGGTCAAGAATCACATGTTTAGAAATAGTATCAAATGAATACTATTCAATTTTAGCAAATCATTTCAAGCCACTAAGTATCTTTTACTTTAATGCAAGGCTGTTCTGCTTAGCCAACCGTTGTTTAATTTAACGTTTGGGGTCAACTCAGCAAAATTTTAATCTGCTAAAAGTTGCTCTCTGTTTATCTTCTGGTGTGTTTTGATTTATCTTTATTATCTTCTCTGCTCAGTCAATAGTCTGCTGAGGGTCATTCAGGTTTTGCTTAGTAAAAACAGTAGCTACATTTTATTTTATTTTTTGGCATGATGAGATCGAATAAAACATCAGCTAATCCTAATTGCACATGGATGGATTTTATTTATTACATTGCAAGACTATAACATATTGTATAAAGCAGTCAAATTAATTGTTTATATGGGTAAGTAAATATTTAATGTTTAATAACTTGACATTCGTTTGCATGAAAAATACTTAATTTTTGGATTTGTCAATCAATGTTTTCTATCACCTGGGCAACTTTACTTTTCACACATACCGAGTTAAATTGACAAAAAATAAAATGTTACCATTGCTCCAAGTAAGTATGAGCTTTTAATATCAAATTGGTGATAATGTTATATTTGCACAAAGTAAAACAAGCTCACTCAGTGTGGGAAAGCCTACAGACATAAAAAGAAATGGCTGAGTCGTTTCTCCCAAAGACCATCTTTCTTTAAGGCATCGACACAAACGCATACAAACAGAAAGTATGCTTTTGCTTTTCCAGAGTGTAAGACAGGGCTGATTAGACCCTTCTCCTGACCTGACAGTGCTTTTCATCTGCTGCAGCCTGATAAGACCTGAAGAGACTGGCTTTTAGAGCAGCAGGGAGCAAATACTTTTAGATGGGACAAAATATCAGTGAAATTTACCTAACGATTAGTTTATCTATAGATGCGCACACAGTATCTCTCAGCCGTTAAAAGTTCCTGCTGCTGACACAATTATGCCTGACTAGATCAACCTTGCCTTTAGCCTTGCGGTGAGGCCAAATCTGCTTATTCTAAAAGGTCAGTGGCCTGGAACGCAAAGGCAGAAGAAATCAAATACTGCAGACTGCTTTGAAGCCCCCTTGGTGCTTGCTCTCATTTGTTCTCCAGGCCAGTAAATCAGTAGTTTGTTGTGGCTTTAACCTCGAGAACCGCCATCAGAGCAAAAGGGGCAGGCAGGTGTGGTAGCACAGAGTGGGATTATTGTCATGCAACAGCGAGAGGCAGTCAATAAATTTGATAGAGTTCAGCCTCCTGGCACTTTGCTCACCATTACTCTTCACACAGACAATGCAGAGCTTTAAATGATGTGGAGGAGTTCCTGCCTGCCATAGAAGCCTGGGGTATTAGCTTGAATTTCAGTGATGAGCATGACTGGCCCAGTCATTGTGATTCAGTAGTTAGGGATCGATAATATGACCGAGATCCAGGCATCCATGCCAACCTCAAGCGAACACTAAAGTACATATTATTTGATGAGTTCAGTGATGGCTCTAGTAATAGGCATTTAATTAAGCTCATAATTGAGTTCCTTATCATTAGATTGGTTTTATTATCAATTTTTAACACTGGATGATTATTTTTTGTCCACGATGGTTTATAGTGTAGTGCCATTAAGTTTCAAATAATTTCTTTGTCTAAAGAAGAACTATGTTGCAGTGTTTAGAACAAGATTATTCTGTTTAATGTTCCATATTATTTTTACATTATTAGTGTTTAGTGTTTATCTTAGATCTTTTAGTTTATTGTTTAGCATTTGTTTAGCATGTATCTTAGTGTATCTTAGATCCTTGTACACTGTCTCTTTTTAAACTTTATAATTTTCCTATTTTGGGGTGTAACTGGGACCTTGCGTAAACAGTTTTGTTCCACCTCATGTACCGCATGTGATGCAAATGTTAATAAAGAGACTTGAACTTGATCTTTAGCTTTATTACAAAATGTATATGCTTACTCAACACCAGAAGGAACATGTTCACAGTAATATTTGGACTGTATAATTCAGGCAAATGCATGTGGCTGAGTGGTGTGGCCAGGGTAGGGTGATAGATGATGGGGAGAATGCTTTAGGATGGCAGACACCTCTCCCATTAATCTGTAGAACAGTGCTGTCTGTCGCTGTTTGCATAACAACACTGGCTCCCCATTACTCATTTAGCTGCTGCCCATTATCCGTTTGTTGATGAAGGAGTTTGCCTCTAAAAGACTTGAAGGGTGCTTTTGGCTCCTCTTCTGAAACTCATACAGGCTAACTGATGTGTCAGTCCTGGGCAGCAAAGGGATTTAATTGCTGCTCTCACTATATTTTATATAAAAGCATCCTTGACGAGGTGTTGCACAGCCTCTCAGGAAATAAAACTTGTGTTTCTTTTAAGCACCTCATTTGGGGCATGCTGTGATTTAAAGCCTAGAACCTGCTAGCTTTAATTTAAGCATTTGGTAAAAGTGCAGCAAAATTAAAACACATTTCAGGTGTAAGTTTTAATTTCTCCTTCTGTCAACTGTTGCAAATGATACCAAACACATTTCAAATGGGGCTCTTAGCTGTAAAATTACATAGAAGTCTTATGACCTATGATATTTACAAATGAAAATGATGCCGTATGAAATAGTCGCCTTGTTCTTTGTAATTATCTGTTACATTTTTGCTACTGGGAGTTTAGTTTATCTTTCAGAGTAAACAAGTCATTTTGAAATATTGTGTGCTTTCAGATGAAATAGTGCAAAAACAAACTAATGTAAGATATTTGCTTTTATAGTAGCAACATTCCTTAAAGTCCTCTTCTACTTTCCTTTAAGAGTAGAGAAAAATATGATTCTGACCAGTAAAAAATGTAAAGGGAAGAAACAGGTGATTAAACGCCAATGTGTTTTTGTTGTCCAAAGATATACTTGGTAAAACATTTTTATCAGCCTTTTTAAAAGATCAATGCAACCTATTCAAAGTCAAACTTATATAAATATAAATAAAATGGACTGTTAAAAAGTCACAAAAATACTGTAGGCAGGTGCAGTCGACTTTATCAGCTTCATATTCAGCTGTTATTGCTATTATTTTATAATATTATTTATGGTTATGTTTATGTTAATGCAAGTTATGATATGCATTTTTGTGGACTTTACACTTATAGTATAAATTGAAACCTAATTATAATATAATTCATATATAATATAAAATATTTACAGTACTATAAAATGATTCAAACGCACCTTTCTAAGAGCCCAGGCTCTAAAGAACTGAGAAACTGAGGCGTTAGTGATTGTGCTGCTCTGTCTGCAGTATATCTGT